GATCCTTGATCATGAAAAAGGCCTGTTCCAGATGAATATAATCAAACCGATGCAAAAAGTTTATTTTGAATGTTGGGAGATCGATCCACACGTAAGAACTAAACCAATGATGCGCATCTCCTCCTAGACGGGCGGGGATATTGATTATGGCTTCATCGTTGTCGTGTTGTCGTGCTCGGAGCGTGGCGATCCACCCTCCTGGTGGGCGGGGTCGAAAAGATACGAATGAGGCGGGGCAACAAGTGTTCGAATACGCGCAGGTTGTGGAGGCACAAGCCCTGCTTGATTCGCCCCTCCTTGTGTCGGGTTAGCGTTAGGTGTGGGATTAACATTCATGTTGGTCGCCTGTCGTCTTGTAGACCTGCTAAGTAAGTACAGGATCACGCACCGACGGGTTTCTTTGCCTAGATCGTCCTCGCCTGGGGCTCACCAGATTGATCGAGCTATTGAGCCGGGCCACTTGTCAGTCTTTGATCTTGACACGTGTCGGCTCCGATACCAACCTCACGCCCAACACGACTTCCTGTTTCGGAGTGAGAGTGGGCCTGGAAGTGCGTAAAAGGGGGTGTGGTAACGATTTTAGGAAAGTGGGGCGGAGTCCCATGTCGGAACTGAGATCTCCAGTGTCAAGTTTCAAGGACAAAAGTGCAAATGGTTCAGCGGAGGGCCAGGTTTCTGATTCGTGCATCCCGGAGCCGGACGGTAAGTTTTGTCAGCCTTGTTGTCTAGGGCGGGCTCGTATTTTGTGTACAGAGGGAACGCAATCGTCGTCTCTTAAAGTTGCTCCAACACCTGTCGTTTGTGGGTTTCATAGACCTCGGAGTCTGACGTGGATGGCCTCAACCGGAGGCTGCATTCTCGGTACTCAACTCCGGAACGACTTCGTCGGACAAATCCTGCGGCCCAGTAGGCGAGATACTGCCGACACTCGGAGCACGGCCTTCGAGGCCACTAGGGGCTATCGCGTTCCAGGGGACGACTGTTAGATTGTGGTAGGAAAGAAGGAGGTAGAATGAAGGGAAATCGGTTTCAATGGCGACGAATCCCGGTTGCACATAGGCCTGGTGGTTACGGTTGAAAAATAACACAGAGACATAAGCCCGTGGGGCTGCGTTCCCCACAGCCCCGCGGTAGGCAATTGCCCATACAAGATAAATGTTATGTACTCTCAAAACATTGGAGTGATCCAATATCGTTGGTCTCTCTTCCTTCCAGATTAACACATGACCCTTTATGGTGAAGAGTCCAAGGACTACCACCACCTGGCCCAGTGCTTGTTCTATCAGTGCCCCTGACTGTAGGAAAACACTCTCAAACTCGAAACATCCTCTCTCACGCGCATACAGATGGTGAACGGTCACCGCTTCGCCAGACTCACTCCTCTCACGACACCTACATGGTCATTGGTCAAAAGGATAGCAGTGTCACGGACAACATTACGCCTAACCCTACTTTCCTTTCAGGGTCAGATTCAAATGCAGAAGGGCCCAAAAATTGCATAACTAGGGGTGTGCCAAGGGCTATCGAAAAGTGCACAACTGAGGGTTTGCCAATAATTTTTGGGAAAGATGGGTGTGAAGTTCCAGGTCACTGATGTCGGTTCTGGTACGAAGCGGACAAAGATGGAATGACGGGCTGACAACGTCTCTCTAGTTCAAAAAGTAGTCACGAGCCTTTCAGTGCATCTTTCCGGATCGGAGAGGTGCGAGAGTGAACGAAAGATCCCGATTACAGATGAGGGTTTGGCGCGTGTCTCGCAGAGCTCAAAGCCGAAAGCAGATGGGTGCACTCGTATTGCTCACCCCGATACCTCTTCACTCTATGTGGCACATAGTCACAGCCTCTCCCCTTCAAATACTCTATATGTCGTAATCCAAGCACAACGTGCGGGCCGATGACGAGCGATGACAGACCAAGGGATGACAATAACCTTATTAAAAGACAGTAGAACTGACCAAGAGATGACAATAACCTTGTTAAAAGACAGTAGAACTGAGAAGGTAGAGAAGATCATATCAACAATCACATTTTGAAACTCAAAGTTAACAAAACTTGAGCGGCGACTTTCCGAAGGAAATTGGTAAGGTCGCCCGATCTGTGTCATAGCCTCACCTACACCACACTCACACACACATGTCATTTCCACATTGTATGGAAACTTGGGGCATGGCTCAAGATGATCGCGCGGATACGACGCCATACCCTCCAACAAAGTGTTCAAACATAGAAGGGGAGATCGTTCTTCCTTAAGCTCATGGGAGATGGTCGACATCAAAAGAGAACTTACAGGGCAAACTCATCACACACTTCCACCGTTCACAAAAGAAACGGAGATCCGTCTTTTATACATGAAGTGTTACTCCGATCCACCCAAATCCTGCATTCCACTGTGTAGTCCGCAAAGGCACTCGAGACCAGGTGAACACTCCGTGAGAGACTAAAGCCCTTCAGTTGCTCATCCGCTTGAAGCATATTGTTGCATACTGTAACGGTGCAGACCAAAACAAGAACCGACCTCTCAATACAAAGTACAAGATAGCGTGGCGGAAGACTTAGATACCAATTGTCCGAACAATCAATATTGCAATGCAGCCCTGAACATACATCATCATCATCGTTCCATGGTGTGAAAGGGGTCTGGCGCTTCACACAGGAAGACTGCGCCAGCCCCAACCATACACAAACGAAGGAGAAGGGGGTTAGACGAAGAGGAGGGGAAGATGGGAATGCTGTCAACACCAAGTCTTCGGCACAGGCCCAAATAGTCCCTCGTCAAAATGTCTGACTCCCAAATGTCGAGTCTGGATCCAATGTCGTCAA